ATAGTTTTTCTAAACGTTAAGCATTTTGGATAAATACTGAGGTTTCTGTTATTTCTAAACTGTTAAATGTGATATCATCATCAATATAGCAACCTGCAATTTTTCTTCGACGGTTTAGAAGATATACAGTTCATCTTGACGGTCAGATTTTATAAAGGTAAGGTCTTAATTCTTTTGTTTTGGATTGTACCAAACTGGTAACTTCTTGTTTCCAAATACTGCATCTTTTATTATCACTTTATGCTTTACTTATTACAAACTGTTATGTTTTCTCTTTCAAAACTAAAATTTCCAAAATCTGCTTTTAGTTTATTCATCCAAAGGAGAGTACAATTTGAACTTCAGTAATTTTGGTTGAGACAAAAATGCTAGTGACTCAAAATTAGAACATGTCCATGTCTATTTTCTCATTTAAAAAATTTCTATGTTCAGAAATTTAGAATTTACGTTTTTTTAAAAAGAACAAGATGGTTTCCCAAAGCATAGTACTTTACGTTTTTATTAATAAATTTCAAATAATAGACCATTTTTAATACGAACAGTATTTCCTACGTCTCATTGTCTTATTTATCTACGCTTGCATATAAAAATGGTTCAAGGCCTTCTTAATGTTTTCTTAAATTACATCGCATTTTTTTTTTCGAAAATGTAATTTAGTTTTAGCTTGGGATATGTGTGCATATTGTGTTAGTCTTACATAACCCCTTATCAATATTTTTCGCCCGTTTAATACATATACTGTCTGGCGTTTACTTTATATTTTATTAATTTTGAAATATGAAAAATAAAATGTTTCTCCGAGTTGAAGCAGTTCTTATGCCTTGAGGATTTCTTTATTTAAAACATTATCATCTTGCATCTTTTGACTGTAAAAGTTTTGACGCAAATTGTTTGTAGTTGCTAATTATAATTATTGAAAAGTTTTAGTACTTAAAAAATTATTTGCCTTTTGCATTTTTTGGTTTTTCAATTATGATTTGAAGTTTGGCTGTGCTGGAAAAATATGGCTCTCTTTTAATCTTTATTTTTTTCTATTTCATGATTAGTAAGGACCAGAAACGGTTTTGTGAATGATATAGAGAGCCTTTTATTAATTTAGAGAGAATATTTTGTATCACTCTTTTTTGCAGCATGAAAAATTCTTGAATTTTATTAATGTAATCGATTGAAGTGTTCGAGCTTTGCCCTCCATCCCGACAAATAACAGGCTCGAAGAATTTTAATTCTCTGCTAAGTTTCAGCTTTTTAATTATGATTTCTATCCAAATTTGGCACTTTCAAAAACCTTTGTACCAGTTGCCTTCTTTCTAGGTTCAACTTAAATTACCCTTGTGATATATATGTTGGTTTTATTTTAATTTTCTTTCATATTTTTCATGTATTTCAAAGATTACCATTCTCTTCTTTGTCTTTGGAAGTGGCCTATTTATTTATATAATTTAATTATATGTGTATAATTTAGAAAATGTTGGTGCCATGGTAGATACTTAAAAGCAGAAATTTGCAAAAGTGGCCGACTTTAATTATTCCTTTCTATTTTGGTTAACACATATTTTTTAGCCAACACATAAATTAGAGCATCAAGCATGCCTGTTTCAGAGTTTTCACATTTTTTAGATGTTGTGGTAAGTGGAGAGACAACAAGCAGCTATCTGGCTACAGAGAAAGAAGCAGACAAATTGCGATGCATTAAGCATGAAAGGCTGCAGTGGAAGAAAAAATTATGGTTTCGCAAGTCAGTTTCCGTTGCTTTATCTGGATTGGATATTTAAGCTACAAAAATTATTATTTAAAACCTTATGTACGTTATCTGTATCGCAGCGCTATATGAAATTCAAATTGCATGGACTAATTTCGAAATGACGCAGTTTAGAAATTTATTGTAAGCAGTTTACGATTTTTAGGACAGGGACATTTTAGGGCTATTGCTAAAGTTTTATTAATTTACCTATTTTATTCATACATATACATATATATTAACAATAATTAAAAAGATGAGAAGAATTTAGGAGTTTCAGTGTGAAAACCTAGCGCAAATGTAGCTGAAACGTATTAAATTTAATTAAAAAAATTAATGATTATACTTTACAGGAAAGAAAAGAAAAATATATATATACATATATCACATTTTCCTGAATCCTTGAAAAATATCGTAAGGATTATCAATTCGTTTTTTTTTGTTTTATTTGCGTATTAATTGTATTATATTATTTTTCATTCGCTTCTACGTTTAATATCTTGGCATGTGCATAGTGATTTTTTTCTTTACATTAGACGGTTAACCACTGTAATAACAGTAAAGTTTCCAGAAGTATATACAGTAAAATAATTTAAATTACATAAAAACATACAAATTTCCAATACTAATAAATACATCCTGCCTTAAACAAGGCGGTTTACTACCCTAAATCGCAAGAAGGATAAGGCAGGATGTGTTTATTTGTATTGCAGATAATTTTATATAAAACATCATTTATGTAATTAAAATTCTTTTACTGTATATACTTCTGGCAAACTTTACTGCTATTATTACTGCATATTTAGTTTCTAAAAAATCTCAATAGCAGCTGATATTGAGTGAAAATGTTTTACTGTAATTAACTCAGTTTTCTGTTTCCTTGACTTTTAGCCAGAGCTAATTTTGAAAAAATTCCTTATTCCACTCCAGTACTTGTTTCGGCCATTTTCAAATTATCTGCTTAACACAGAACCTTTATCTGGATAGTTTCGTCCCTCTCCCCAGCAAATAATATTTCTTTGGCTACAGCTAATCAGAGCTGTTCCTTTCCAAAATTTCTCGCCACTTCAGATTTCACTAATTGCGAGCTTTGAGTCTGTACACCAAATGAAACTTTCATAGCCTTTTATATTACAAATCTAAAAGTGCAACCAGGCGGGAAACTACAACTTCTCTATTTGATTTTGTAAAATGGCTAACTGCGAAAATTATTTTGGGTTCCATAATAAATTTTGTTTTAGGCCCTAATTTTTTTAACTTGTTTGTTAAAAAGGACAGAATATTTATACGTTTCATATTGTAAGTATTTGATTTTTAATTTTTAGTTTTTTTGAGAAGATTAATTTTCTTTTCAATCTTTGTGTAGTCTGGTTCACGTGTTTAGACAAGTATTCAGTTTAATTCAATATTTACCCAAACTATGGTTTTTTTAGGAAATCGTGTCGTTTTCAGGAGTTTCTGTCGCATGTATGAAAATAATTAAGTTTAATATTTCTTTGGGTTAAATTTCATATAATCGTATTTAAACGTTACAGACTGAATAAATACGATCACATCATATCTGTTGATGGTTTTAGAGAGAAAGACTAATTCTCCTTGAAATGTCAATTGTGTATGCATTCAGTATGCTTACTACTAATATATATTATTGTGTTCCGGTATTTCTTAAACAAGTTTAAATAATAGTGTGAACTTCTATTTTCAGTAAGGTGTTCTTCGTATATCACAAGGGGTTTATTGTTCTCTGTTTCATATCTATCTAAATATATAATATTTATGTATGACTATATATATATATATATATAGATATATATAAAGGGTAATTCGCTACTAGACCGACAAACTTTCAGGGTGTGGGAGGGTACAGAGACGACTTGGAATCACACAAGAATGCAGGGTCGCGAATATCGTACTTGTGAGCTATGGCGCAAAGAAGCAGAGAGAAAGAACAGAAACAGCAAAACATTAATGGGACATAAAACGTACTACAACAGTTGTTTGAAATTACGACCAGAAATCGTCTGGTAGGCCTGAAAGTGACGCTGCATTTAACATTCCTTGCATTCTAGAAGATTTCTGGCATGTCACGTATCCTCCCGAGCGACGAGATCTTCAACTGAAGAAACGAGCATCTCGTACACCAAACTCTTCATGTGACCCCAGAAGAAGTCCATGCATAAAAGGTCGGTCCTGTGTAAGTCCATGTGGTACCAGCGTGACGGGGCTCCTTCACATTACACGACTGACGTACGCAGACAGATAGACGTAACCTTCAGAGAGCGGCGGATAGGTCGTGGAGGCCCAGTTCAGGCTTGAGAGATCATCGGACCTATCATGCATGTACTTCTTCTGGGATCGCATGTAAAGTTTGCTGTACGAGATGTCCTTTCTTTCAGCTGAAGATCTCGTCGCTCAAATATCTGTAGTTTTTCCAAAATGATACGTGACATGCCAGGAATCTTCCAGATCGTAAGAAATTCCACACAGCGCCACTGCTAGACAAGCCAGACGACTTCTGGTCGTAATTTCGAACACCTGCTGTAGTACAACCTTTCAATAAAAATTTTTGCGGTTCCAATAATGTGTCACTGGTTTCTGTTCTCCTCTTCTTTTTTGCACCATAGCTCGCAAACACGGCATTTGCGACCTCGCATTCCCATGTGATTCCAAATCGTCTCTGTACCCTCTACACACCCTGCAAGTTTATCAGTTTGGTAGCAGATTACCCTGTATATATATTATAGAAGTAAATCTTGGATAATTATATATGACACTATGGTTTATTCTTTAGCAGAAGTACATAATTAAAAATCCTTCAGTATAATTTTCAGATATGCATTTTAGGCAAAACATCAAAAAGATTGTATAATTAAGAGAAAATTTGCCTTCCAAAATCTACATGTTTGTAGTCAAAAAAGGCGATTTGAGTACCTTTTCATTAGTTTTATTATTAACATTTATTACTGGGAAAATTTTTCACAATACTATATCGATAATAATAAATGAAATAAAGCTATATATTGTGCTTGTGATGTTTTTAAGCTTTTTACACCCTCCTTACCGTGTACTTTCTGGGTGTAATTGAAAAGCACTTTCAGTTAGCAATCGGATTTCGAGTCTCGGTGAGGGAATTACACATTTTACACACTGCAGTTCAAAAATTCCTAATGTCTCTATATATTTATTATAAATTTCTGTCCAAAAAATAGATTTTACATGATATCAAAGCAAAAAAAAAATCAGCTTAACTAACCTTTCTTTCAAGTTCAGTAATTAAAAACTGAGATTTTTATAACATTTGATTCAATTCTGTACAAAACTTTTGCTAGTAATATTTCAAAATACTCATTCCAAATAACAATGTAATGCAAGAAAAATAAATAAGCAGCGTGCATAAATGCAAGAAAAATAAATATCTCCATAAGATATTGAATTCCACTTGCGAACTGAAGAAAAAGGCTTTATGAAAGCAGATTTACATTTTAAAGTTATTAGTAAATGATACTATATCTACAAAATTTCCTTGAAGCAGCGACATTGCAAATCCCGAAGTTGTGCCTGCGGATATCTAAGTACTTCGAAGTTCGAGGCCAGGAATTTGGTTTCGGAGTTGGGGGAACACGTAAAGGAATTACCTGATTAGCGGAAGGGGTAAGGCCGTCACATCTATAACGGTGAGTACTCACCGCTGTCCTGACAAGAGGCACCTCGGAGTTGCCAGCGACCAGCACAGGTGCATCGCCATCGGCAGTGGAGGCGGAGGAGGCGGCGTGATGGGCCAGGCACCGTTGGCGATGGTGCTCCGCAATCTTGGCGATGAGTTGAGTGCGGGTCTTGCGCATAGCGATCCTTTTACCTAAATAGCCGACAGTAGCATATTCCAAAAGCGATGCGAAGACCATGACGAAACAGGTGCCCAGGTAAACGTCGATGCTCTTGATGTAGGAGATCTTGGGTAAGGCGGCATTGGTGCTGGACATAAGGGTTGTCATTGTGAGAACGGTGGTCACCCCAAGCGCTACTCGGGCAGGGGTGGCATTTCGGTGCAGCCAGAAGGACACCCACGAGATGATGACTATGAGTCCCGCTGGTATGTAGATCTGGATCAAATAGTAGCCCATGCTACGGATGAATTGGATTTCACAGATGAGGCGAGAGTAGTTTCCTGGGAAACAATTACATATTAGAGAACAATGTATTACTAGATAGAATTCCATGAAGTTTCAGGGAAGTTTCCGTAAAAACAAAATAAGGAAGTTTTATAAGAAAGTTCATCATAGGTTTTGCTGATTATTCATAAGCGATTTTACTCGTTTATTTCAAATATGTAACCTGAATTTCCGACTGAAGAAAGCAACATACAAGAATATGAGCTATGGGCTAGCTTTGAGGCAGGCCGCAGACTGAGTAACTGTATGTGAAACAAACAAGAAAGGTCTCTAACATATACCCATTGCGAAATTTTGTCAACTGTTGACAACTTGTTTGAAATTTCTGTTCCAAATGTAAATCATTTGAATTTCTAAAAAACGAGAATAAAAATTAGGAACTGAAGACAGGTCAGATTTTTATTTTCTAATTTTTTATGAAAGTAGGTCTGAAGAATGATTGTTCTTCAGGCATTATGAAAACTTTAAAGATGTATAAGGCGTCAAGGATAAACTCATTGCAAATTGCAAAGTTAGAAGTTATCAATCCTATTCAATTGTATCATGAAATAATTTTGTGGAATAATTGAATCCTTTTAAACTAAGTCATACTGTTACTTTTAATTTAATTTTCTCTGTATCTTACTCACACATCCTATCTCTTGTGTAACGAAGTAAACATTCCCAACAAACGTCTCATGTCACTTTCAGTACATTCATCACTTCTGTTCCTCGACAAATTTCATTTCAGTAAAATCATAAAAGAGCCATTTTATCTAAGCTCAAAGTTTTTTTCTTCTGCTTTCCGCTCTATCTGTTATTTAAAATAGCACTTATAAAAATTATTTTTCATTTACACAGTATTTCAGTTAGCATATCAAATAAAAGCATCTCAACAGTGCGAGTACAAATATGTTACACGTAGGCACACAATGAGAGGCTTAAAGTGATTTAACGTATATTATGTATATGCTCTGCAAAATGTGATTCATCTCATTAAGATTTATGTAAATGACCACAAATTACTCGTGAGATCAGATTTTGATAATTTGAAATCGATGGTTATGAAGTGAATGATGTAATTCTCTGTGTGATTAATAATATCATTATGCTGTAAATTTAATCTACCCTCGAGGCAAAATGTTAATTGAAGAAATTTCCCTTTTAGGCAATAGGTAATTAATCTTCATTTTATTCGAGCTAATGTTTTAAACAATAAATACCGTGTTTCAAGTTTCAAGATATTTCTACCGTTTTTTTTCGCTACGTGCAGGTATTTGTTTAACTTCTGTGAAACCTTTCCTTAAAAAGAAATAACAGAAAAAATATCATTCCAGGGAACAAGCTCAGAAAGAGTAGCCAGCATATTTACTCTGAGAATTTTAAAATAAAGATATGTGTAAAATTCTTTCTAAGGTTTTCCTTCGTCATATGAAATAAATATTAATAAAACCTTTTAATTCATCTTAACATCAAACAAATGTTGTTGATACTAATTAATGAATTACTGTTTGGCAATAACTTAGAAGATATTGTCATAGATTTGGCAGTAACTTGGAGGATATTTTTGCATTCAACAGGACGCCGTAACAAGAGACAAGCTACTTAAAAACTGTTGTACGTTAAACATTAGTCAAGTTTTTCTCTTAGCAGAATGATTGATCATCGGAATTGGCTGCCTCGCTATGTTGTTTTAACCTAGTTAAAAAAAAAAAAAAAAAAAGACCGCGCAGGTTTGATAAAAAGCGCTTGCACAGACATTGGGGGATAGTCTGTGAGTACGATGAATTAGATGCTTGTTTGGAAGATAGGGCTGTATTTATTAAGCTCTCTGCTTCTGTGAAGGGAAAGAAATGGGAGAACGTGACGTTCACATGTGTAGTCTCATTTCCACCATTCACGTTCAGCACGTTTTATCTAGTTTTAAAGAAAGAAATGAAAGAAAAGAAAATGAACTTTTTTGTAAATTTGTGTTTTCCATTAGACTTTAGATTTTGCTTTTCCTAATCTGACGTGCTCGTAATTTACAATAAATCGCAAGATCTTAATTCGTCACTGTTTCACACTGAAGCAAAAGATCCAATCATTATATGAAAATTAATGTGAAAAGGGCAAACAAAATCATTGGAAGTTTCTTTAGCATAAAAGCTTGAGTGTTCAGTTTCGAAAACAAGAGATCGCAATTTTCACAAATATTTAATTTACTTTTATTTATAAAAATTTTAGCTTGAATTAAGGATTGAAGGTCCGTGCAAAATTAAACAGCTTACTTTTATTCGACTTTAATAATTCTAGACTAAAATTTTATCATTTATAATAAACGGTTCATGTGAAAACTCTACAAGGGCTTATCGAAATGTGTTCTTAATCTGTATTGAATGTCTGATGATAAGCAAAGACTAAAAAGGTTCTAGGGATCTTTTCCGTTCTAAGATAACATTTTCTGAACAGTTTTCTTTAGAAATATACGATGTGCGCCAACATGATACCTCTAGCAAGAAGATACACTACTATCGTGAGCTCATTTAAACAGTGATAATTTGTTTAATGTAAAATACTCGTATTTATATCTTAGGTTGGTTATTTCAATAAACAAAGCATGAAACAAAATGATAATCTTCTGCTAATAATAGTTGCTCTGAAAATAAGAACACTGCTGTGAGAGAGATCAGTGGGTTTAGTTTAATGATGGTCAACAAGCAGTTAAGATTATTGTGCTACAAGGTTTCCTCTTTATGATGTTACTAACTGGTTAAAAGCAATTTCTTCCCTACTCTCTTAGTGTCTTCGTGTCTCCCGCTTCTATAAGGTAGTGTTGGGAAGAGTGTGTTGAGAAACTTGGTTTGTTTAGTGCCCTTGCAAACAACATTGGAAAATGCATTTTTCCGCTGAAAACTGTTTGGGGCGTTTTGTTCTTTAACGGAAAAGATACAAATTTTGAATAAGTTTAAATGAAAACTTTAAAGGTGAGGCTAAATATGCAGCAACATTTTACAGCCTTTAGTTTTAGCTGCAAACGAGTAAACAGCTTGGTTGACATTTCCTTTCGGTGCATTTTCATTTGCATATCTCAGATACTAGAATATGACATCAATAATTTGATGAATAAACCAAAGCTGCTTTTTAATTTTCAATTATCATAGCAGTTTTAATGATTTTTCAATAATTATTAAGTTGATTATAGCAGCAAGCTAAATTTCTGACAAAGGCGAATGGAAAAGATTGCATTAGCTTATACAAACAAATATATTAACTGGATCAACGTGGCTTAACAGGATTTATAGGATCCATGTCATCACAGTATTTTGACATGGAAATATATTTTTGCCAAATCTTAATGTTAATTTTATATTCCTGATTTTAAGTAGTGGCTTCTTGAAACGTGAATATAATTTCAACTGCTTAGTAGCAATAAAAAGGTAGAAAAATGCTGCTCGAGATTGTAAATGAAACTTATTTTTATATATTTGTATGTGTAATTTATTACCACAGAGAATATCATTCTCAACTGCAGAAACAAATGTGACAGCCAATTCTAATGGTTACCCTCAAAATATTTGAAAATTTCAGTGTTCATATAACAATATGCATGTTTATAATGATTCCTAGAATTTTTAACATTTATATTTATGTAATTTTATCTCTTTAAATAAATTTAAAAAAGTTATTAATTCCTTCTCCGAAATTAAGACACTGTTCGTAATAATATCCAAGCAAATAATTAAATGCTGATTAAAAAAGACATGTTGAAAATGGAAAAACTTTTCTTTGGCCTAAAATTCTGCATAGTAATCCAGTTACAATATTTTTAATTAAACTTAAAAGGTAATTCAGTTACAACAAGCTACTATAAAGAGGCAGTTAGTACTTTAATTCATGACAAAATGTCCGTCTACCAAATACGTAACGCTGTATATAGTTATCCTACTTTAAATATTGCACATTAAAAATGTACATAAACGTTTTAAAAAATTGTTATGAACATGAACGTTTTAATAAAATGTTAATTTAATTAGCGTACGTTATTTAATTAATTTATTTCATTTTACACTTCATCGAATTTTCGTCGTCTTTTAAGTTAAATCTTATTAGAAATACGAAGTTTCTGGTATTTATCGTTGCCACAGATTAAAAAAGAAATATATACTTGGCAGGAGAAATTAAACAGATTAAAAGGGAAAAAAGCCGAAATCTGACAACATTTTAGCTTGCAATCAGCACCTCGAAGTTGAGTTAAACTTTTTAAATTATTAAAAAAATATTAAAAAATAAGTAAAAAGACTAAAAATACAAGAAAAAAAAACAGAAATATTTTTGTTTTTTTCTTAAGTCTAACACCTACTGCTGCGAATTTACTGTTGAATAAAATTAAAAAAAGCTAAAACCAAATTTTAGTGTTAGAAAAGCTCTGTTTCTTTCTACATTTCTTTATTTTAACGTATAAAAGGAAAAAAGGAAACCGTCAAACTACTAAAAATGCATATTTAATTAAAAACATGAATACAACTAGAGGCTTCAAATCTATACTTTAATATAAAATTTCAAATTAAACATTATTTATTTTTATTTGGAGAGTCAAAAATATATCAAAGTTAGCATAAATTAATCATAATCTACTTTACATATGACATTTACAATCCTTGTAAAATATTGTTAAAATTCCAGGTGAAATAGATTTTTAAAGGGTTAATGATAGACTGAGAATTTATATAATATTGACAATAAAATATCTGCAGCGTTGTTTAGTAACATCATCAAATTGTTGCGAATACAATTCACTGCTCAGTGACAACCAAAAACGTTCTGAAGTTTTCCTTCGAGCTGTTTAAATGTTACAAATAGTATTTACTGTTTTAAAAAAGTGTTTATTGTGCGTTTATTAACAGCTATGTAACTCTAATATGTACAGAGCTATTAAGAGATAAATGAAGTAATATGTAAACAGACCGTACTTCCATCAAATCTGTTAGGTTGTTCGAATATGAGAAATCAAAGATACATTTTATGATTGTAGTGG